AAGTCTGGCCATATAACTCTACCAATATCAGTTGGTAACTACTCTGATTCCTTATGTCTCTAGGATGAAATATAAACTATTTTGTTTAGTTTTCAAAGTCTTTTACAACCTGGTCCCAATGTACCTTTCCAGCCTCACTATGTACTTCTCTCCTTCCCACACTCTATCATTTAGGTAAATTGTTTTTCTTGCTGTTAATCACATATGATGCTCTTTGTCTTTGAAATGGCCAACCCACATATCTAGAATGTTCTCCCTCATGTCCACCTTACAGATTTCCTTCCTTCCCTCAAGACTTAACTTAAGAACTATCTTTTACTGCTAGTACTCTATTTCCCTAAACTACTTTAACTTTATTTCTTATATATTTCTGTAACCCATATAAAGTCTATGGAGTCCTTATCCCTAGTCTCGTTCATGTCAAGTAGTCCACCAGAGTAATGTTGGCTACATATCCCCTTCAGTATTTTGATAGGTATCCCTGAGTTGTTGGAAATATTTTTGTGATGCTTGAATCCCCATTCTGGTTTATGCTCTTCTGTCTGTGTTTTTGGTGATTAGCATATCATTTCTCCATTAACATCAATTAGCTTTCACAGAGTGATATTTACTAAAAAGATAGAAATTATCAAAGTACAGATGGGAGTACTCCCAGGTGGGAGTACACTCTCCCCTACAAAACCTCCGTCCTTGGGAAGAGTGGACTCAAACTTAGAGTAGTTGTTACAAAGCATTAGCCCCTCCAAGTTCATTTCTGATTAAGGCATAGCCAATGAATGAATCATTTCCTTCTTTGTAGAAAACAGCATTTCTGTGTTCATGTACTACTAACCTGGGTCAAGTGGATTTCTCAGGGCTTCACTGCTTACCAGGCATGGCTGCTCACAAACTTTGGCATACACAATAGTTTCAGAACCTGTGGGGTTTTCCAAACTTTTTTAAGCTTACATGGTCAGAGGTCCAGCCTGTCTCTAATATCTAACAATCCCATCCCTCCTTAACCTAAGGAAGGAAAGAATGAACACAAAAGAAATAGAAGCAACAACAAAGACATCTGATTATGGCTTCACACAGAATTATATGGGGAAAATAGGCCACTAGCACTCTCCCCACTTGCCTCCTCATTCAAACAAAGCTGGCAGGAAGGAAAACAGGGTCAAGTTATTGGTGGTTTTCTATGCATGTTCAGTTCTGGTTCAGGAGCCAATCAAAAAGCCTTTCCTCAGTACATGGTAAGCAGACAAGAAATTGTCAAAGAACATCAGTGCATGTTCCAAAGTCCATACCACAGAAAACCTTCAGATGCTCTGAAGTCACCATGGGTAATTGAATTAGGTCAAGTATACTGTACGTGATCATAAAAGCTGGACTTTCCTTGGCTAGCCTCCAATTACATTCTACCCCTTTATACTACCATATTTAAAAAATTTGCCATCTTTGTCAAATGGACTGACGTGTTTTGAACACGTTCATGTCAGTCCAAAAGAGTTATCTGCCAAGAAGCATCAGCATTTGTCACTTCCCCTCCCCCCCAAAGTCACACAGAAAAGAGGCTCAAACAGTCAACATTGCAGAGATCTGATATGAAAATTATAATTGTTCTCAAATACAGAGTTATGCAATTCAACAAAGAACATTTGACAAATTTTATCAGAGATTACTGCTTACTTACCTTGTTCTCCTTCCTTTCTGGTTTGACTGAGGAGGTAAGTGTGGAGAGTGCTAGTGACCTATTCTCCCCGTATAGTTCTACAAGCAAATGCCTTTGTTGATGTTTCTGTTCCTGTTATGTTCATTCTTTCCTGCCTAAGGTGAAAGGGAGTTGGAATTATTAGATATTAGAGATGGGATGGACCAAGCTCTGACCTTGTGACATTACTGGCCTACCTTGGTTCTTGAAACAGCCTTTCTTAGCCTAAAGCCAATAAAGGAAAGAAAAGAAAAAGAAAACCTAACCTCGATCTCAGATGGAAATCTGGTGTCTACAGAGATTTTCTGATAATGTGATGCTTTTAATGTAAGATTTTAGGACATGGGGTCCTAAATTGGGGAACTGGAATTCACTCCCTCACCAAACTGTCCTTTGTAAAAATTCTTCCATGGTTCCCTCATTGCATAAAACCAGCCTAATGGGGAGGGAGATTCTATGCATTCTTCTCTACACAGGATACACCCCTCCACCTACCAAATTTATCCAAGTATCTCTGTATATAGATGATACCTTGGAAGTCCAGGGAAATTTCTTATGAGTCCCTATACTAAACAACACCTGAAATTTCTCCCAATGAATTCCTGCCACTGAAAAGGGAATCCTACTGGAATCCTACAAATTCACCCTGTAATAGAACTAGGTTCCACTGAAAACTAAAGAATAAGATTAGTTAAGCTTCTAAAATTCATGAAGTACCCAAGAAAAGCAATTAATTGCTTGGAGTTAATTATTTGGGTTTTGTAGACAAGATTGTTGTTGTTTAGTCATTTTCAGGTTGTGTCTAACTCTTTTCAACCTCATTTGGGGTGTTCTTGGCAAAGATACTGGAGTAGTTTGCCATTTTCTTCTCCACCTTATTTTACAGATGAGAAAACTGAGGCAAACAGGATTAAGTGACTTACCCAGGGTCACACAGTGTCCAAGGCCAGAATACTTAGGAAAATGAATCTTCCTCCACTGTGCCACCTAGCTGCCCTTTGTAGACCAAAACACAAATTTCATTATGTTGATATTCAGTCCTTAAAGATTTCACAATAAGGCAAAAGAAAAACATGAACATTTATCAACTATGCATCAGCATTTTAGAAGTGCAAAATTATACTTCTCATATCAATATCTCTCAATATCAATACTTATAAATAATTTAATAATGAAGCAGATATTAATACTTAACCATTTAACTATGCAAAAGTTAGCTCAAAGAAAACTGGTTTGACTTTTAAGGAACCACACCACAAAATTGATTGCCATACAATTACAGTCTAAAACAAAATGTGGAGAGAAAATGTTCTGAAAACTAAGATATCTAATAATGAGTCTTGGGTAGAGATTTTGTCCAGTGAATGCCTAAAAATGTGAAGAGCCTAATATTTGCCTCAGACAAAGTCTTCATAATGCAGCCTATGGAGCCTTACTCTTTCCATCCCCATTCCCAGGTCCTAGAGCAAGACTATGGTGGTCCCTCAAGCCTCTGGGAGTGGCTTTGAAGGGTTGAGAGGTGGTTTGTCTAGTCACCAGGAGGAGGTTGAGTGTCACTCCCCTGCACTACAAACAAAAATATTTTCATAAAGAGAATAGATGATCTCTGAGTAGTCTACAAGGCAGTGGCAGCAGCAAAATCATGTCCTCTCATCACTGGATACTGAGAAAAACTGCCGTGAATTTCTGATATGTAGTACTCTCCACAGCTACATTTCAATGACAGAAGGAGGGTTCACAGAAGATGAACGAAATGCATAGTTACTAGGTCTGTGTGACTGTGGTCAACCCAAAAGAGGGCCTATGGCACAACAGGAGGCACCTGGCATGTCTGGAACACTATGGGTACTAAGCGTTCTCCTATGTTCACATAGAGGCCTTTCTTGCCAGTCAGAGTAGACAGAATGAAGTGAACAGGTGGACTGTGAGATTGGGGCTGGAATATATAAATGGTTACAAGTCCACCTATAATTTGATTCCTCTATCAGCTTGTAGATTTCACACTGTGAAGTTTCTTTTTTCACATATGGACAGTTGAAGAGTATAGATTTAACTGGGGAATGGCTATCTTGTTCAAATGACTGATTTTCAAATTTCTGTTCTTCAGGTGTATATTTAAAGGTGAAAGAAATTCACCCAGTTCATAAATCCTATAAAGTGTACTTACTATTAGTTGATTTCAGTCAGCCAGATTTAATTAACTTTAATAAATGAGTATTTAATTAGGTAGTGTAATTGGTACAATTGACACAAATATTCCACTGAAATTTCTGTGACACACTTTCTTACTACTACATACAGGATCCAAGGGAAATTGGCCTCAAGCTTAGAAAGAACTGGCAAAAGGGTTACAACTCCTAGAAGTCCTTTTGCTGGAGTCTTCCAGATGTTCCCCTTCAGAGCAATATAACTTTTCTGCTGGAGTCTTCACAGAGTCCTTGGATCTACCATCCTCACTGAGTGCAGTCTGTCCTCGGCCACCTTGACTCTGCCTTCAATCATTAAGAGGATATTGTTAGGATTCAGAGAAAAAGTACAAATCTTCTAGACCATTCAAAGTTCACAATGTCCTCCTCTTTTCAAGGCTGGAAAAGTGGTAAGGAGAATGAGACAAAAAGCCAATGCTGGGGGTTCTGCTCACAGTTCAGTCACTTCCATCTCAAGAGTTTCCCTGGAATGACCTCTCCTTTCTACCACTAAGCACTCCTTTGGCTTTCATTCCCCAAGAAGACCAATGATATCACAAGGATGATTTGCCTGTGAATTGGATATGAGTGGGGCACTCGAATCTCTCAGGTTCTGAACTAGCTCCGTGGTTCTATGGACACCACAGGATGCTACCCAGTGTATCGCCCAATCAGAGCAGACTTCCTATCACACCTAGTTGAAATGTCTATGATTCATGGAGGTATCCAGAGCTTGTTCACACCTAGTTTTGATGGATGGATTAAGTTTTTCTCAGCACAAATGTTAGCTTTAAACAAATCTCCTAGGGAATATTTCCAGAGGTCTCATTTTTGCTTTTAAGCATAAACCAAGCCTCTCCAGGAAAGAGAGGCTCATTTCTTTCATATTTCCTGCTTAAAGTCCAGGTTGCTTGGTTAGTCTTTTTTATGGATAGGTGTTAGAATGGCTTGACTTCAAGACCTGTATTTAACTGGTCTATTTCTAGGCTAGTTCACAAACTCTTGCTGCTCACAGAACCTTTGCAGTTTCACCTCCTTGTATAAATATCATTTGCTCTATTGACAGTTGTCCAAAAGCACAGGTTCAAATTTTGGCAAGCTTACCTCACCTCTTTGTCCTTCCAAAGTACACAAAAGTCAAATCATGTTCACAATGACTTCTTCCAATGAAACCTTAAAAGCCAAAGTTTTTTCTACTCCCTCAACCAAATTACTGCAACCTTCTCCATAGGAACCAAAATTTTGTTCTACCCTTGGCATAATTCCTGAAACCTGGATTCAACTCAGGTAACTAAGAGTCTGCTTTATCTCTATAGAAGGCATTAGTCATCCTATAAAAGTTAAATTTATTACTAAGTGCTTTGTTTGTATTAACATATATCTTCTCTGGGAAAATGGAAACAAAGGCGAGGTCCTTTAAGTTTCCATATGGGGAAACACACATCCTCCTTTGGAATTTAACCTTAATTTGAACCAAGATATATGAAAGAAAATACTTTGGTGTATTGTTCCCTTGCTCCACCCCTTTTTTCCCCTTATCTTAATGGAGTCACCACTGCCTCTAACTTTGTAACTCTTGCAATTCCAAGCTCCTACTGTTCCCAGTGCTTGAAATTTTTATCTTAGAAGTGGAATACCTATGCATGAGGAGAATAAATAATTTTTCTATGAAGGACAGTAGTACTGCTTCCTTAAAGATACAAACCCATGGCAGATTCAATATTTTTACACATCTGTAATGCTTGTTATTTTGTTTATAAACAGAGGATAAGGACACCTTTTCTGGGACATTTAATTCTCTGATGATCTACCGTAAGATAACACTGCTGCAAATACAATGGCATATCTGCAGATTTTTATTTCTACTTGTGCTTTTCTCTTAGAGATTCTTGAAAATAAGGAAATTAGGGCCAATAAAAATTCAATATAAGCAGTGGTGAGGTATGCACTGTAATTAGAATCAAATACTAGCCACTTTTTTTCTTAAGATCTGTTTGAAGTCTTTATAATTCTTTTTATGTGTTTAAAGAATTCAAATATTTCAGTGCTCTTTTTAAGACAATACAAACCTCCATTCCTTATAACCTAGCCCTCTTCATGAGCTACCCATGATAACAAACCAATGGAAAAAAAAGTAAGCAAAAAAATAGATTTTCATTTAACATTTCTAAAAAAAAAAGATGAACAAATTATTTTATTGAAAATGAAAATAAATAAGAATGTGATCCAGTTATCTAAAACTAAATATATTAATTACCCAAATTAGATTTTTAATGCTTTTGTCAGATTAAGGAAGAACAAAATTTGAGTCAAAGTATATGCTTAGAATCACGAAATAAGTGCAGAACATGTGCCAACTGGATCTGAAAGTATCACTTAATCTGACGCTTGACCATACTGCATTCAAAACAACTCCAAAGGTAACTACTTAAAAACTCCCATTGAAGATTCCATGACATCCTTTGGTTATACATTGCATTATCTTACACTTCTTTTTAAATGTAGAATTTAAGGCATTAAGATTAATTTAGTAAATTATGCCTATAGTATACCCAACTTAATGTCCTCATTTCCCCTGGAGAAACTTTAAACCAGTTTTATGTAACTTTCAGGAGACCTCCAATATTTTAATGGATTAATATCAACATAAGTATTCCCTTTGTCAGTGCAGATGCAGACCTATATGTTTCCTTTCATGCTGTCTAATTCTTTTCTAGATCTTTCTACAAGTCCTCCATAGAGTATCTGGTCTTTTCAATATTTAATTTATACTTGTACACACTGGCAGTCTATTATCTCTCATCTTCACTACAAAATCTACTTCCTTTTCAGGCCATACATGATTTTGATGACATTTTATATCACTCAACGTTAGTCATTCTTGCTAATAAATAGCTTATACCTACCATATGTCTCATTTCCTTTTTTAGAAGGTTAATTAAATTGGTAGATAAGGGAAATACTATAGATAACATTTTACCTGGGCCTTTGCAAGGTTTTTCATAAAGTACCTCACAGCATTTTGCAGAGAACATGGAAGGATATGGATTAGATAATAATACAGTCAAATGAATTCAGAATGGTTGGATGGCCAGACTCAGAGTAGTTGTTAATGGTTCAATATCAACATGGTCGGAGGCCTCCAGTAGAGTATCCCAGGGCTCCTTGTTTACCTCTGTGCTATCTAACATTTTTAGCATAATGTAGCAGCTGCCCCCCTTCCCAAAAAAAAAAAAAAAAAAAAAAAGCTGATTCAATCTTTGACTGTATAGAGAAGGATAGCTTCCAGGAATAAGGTAATGATAGTCCCATTGAACTGTATCTCATCAGATAGCTCTTGTACTATTGTGTTTAGTTCTGGGAACCATGCTATATGAAGAGGATCTACAGTGTCCAGAGGATAACAACTGGGATGGTGAAGGATTTTAGACCATGACATGCAGGAGGATCAGTTGAAGGAACTGAGGTTGTTTAGCTTAAACAAGGGAAGACTCATGGAGAATTTAAGTATCTTTTAAGTATTGAAAGGGTTATCCCATAAAGAAGGGATAAGAATCCATTTGTGCCCAGAGGGCAGACCTAGGAACAAAGGATGGAAGTTAGGTAAATTTAGGCTTGATGTAAGGAAAAAATTTCCTAACAATTGCAGTTGTCCAAAAGTGGAATGGATCACATCTAGAAGTGGTAGAGTCCCCTTCCTCAGGGGTTTTTAAGCAGGATGACTAGTTGGGATATTTTTTTGTGGTTATGGGTTGTACTTACAGTTTTCAAATTCTGTAATTCTTTTTCTCTTTCCTTGAATCACCTGCAATTTTGATTTTTTGCAAGATTGTGCTCTTATATAATTCAGAGCAAGAATAGTAAAATAATGTTGTTTAAAAGGGGGAGGGACTCTAGTGGCAGTGATCAACTTAGGAACATTAAAAGCACTGTACAGTTTCTTAAAATGAGATCTGGCTCAATCTCCTCCTAATCAGTTCTGAGTCCAGTTCTTTGTCCATTTTATCTGGGGGAAAAAAGGCATTTTGATTAACACACAAGAGGTACATACTGCATTAGGGAGATTCTCATGATCTCTTACAAGCATATTCCAATCAAAAGTGAAAAGCAATTGTTGTTTTCAGAGTTTTTCTCAACTTCACACGTTTTTGTTATAAAGATATTGACACCATTTTTGTATTATTTGGATTATAGTTGTTGCCAGCAGTATGAAATCCTAAATATTAGCAACTTTCATCTCATCCCCACACAGCACTTTCACATTCATACTGACCAATTCTACCCCAAGTCAAACAATACCAACATAAATGAAATCAGTGCTACTCTTCTCTCACTTACTAAGACATTGCCCCTACATTTTACCAATATATATTGAATGATGATCACCAAATTCCTTGGTGCATATGCATATAGGTAGTTTATAGATATCTATTAAAATTGCTCTGTACTAGCAACTTTGAAAGACTTAAGCTCTCTATTAAGATTCTAGAGAACTCAAGATGAAACATGCTGCCTACCATCTGACAGGGAAGTGATAGACTCAGGGTGCAGATTGGCACAATTTTTTTGGACATGGCTAATATGGGAATTTGTTTTGCTTGACTATGAAGATTTGTTAAAAAGAGTTTTGTTTTTCTTTCTTTTTTTAAGGAGGGAGGTGAAGAGGAAGGAAGGAGAAAAATAGATCTTTGTTAAATAAAAAAATTAAATTAAAAAATAGTTTATGGAAGTTTTAAAATCGCTTTGCATTTATTTTGCATATATTTACAAGCGTACATGTTGTCTCCTCTGACAAAAATATAAGCTACTTGAGGGCAGGGATTGTTTCATTTTTGTCTTTGTTTCCCCAGTACCTAGTACAGAAACTGGCACGTAGCAGACACTGAAAAGTGCTTGTCGGGTGATTAAAATAAAAGAGTTGGGAAAAAGGAGAGAAGATAGTTAATATTTGGCCCAATTTCCTCTTATGTCCCTGTAGGGCATATCATCATCATGAAAGCAAAGTGTTTAGTAAATGCCTTAAATTTAAGGGGCAATACACTAAGAAAATTGTAAAGTGTGGTGGCCCTGTCACAATTCTAAGATGGGTATGCTGGTATGTACAGACATCCATGATGTAGTGAAAAATGGAGTGGACTTGGATTCAAAGGTGCTATGTTTGAGTCCTGGCTCTGATACTAGTTATATGACATAGATAAGTCACTTAACCTCTTAGTTCCTAATCTGTCAAATAGGGACAAGAATACTTGATCTGTGTACTTCAGTGGTTTGTGATATATGTGTGTTTCTATGTATATATGTATATGTATACTTGGATATAGATATATAAATAGATAGTTAAGTAGGTAGATAGATAGACTGATAATCAGGAAGATGGGTAATAACCATTAGAAATGGGATAAAGAATGGCAGACAAAGAAACATAGTTGTCATACTCTAAGCCTCATCAACAAATGAATCATTTAATTGTTTACAAATCATTTATAGGACAGACAAGTTAGATGGAAGTAATTCACCTTTAGAAATATTTGCATTTTGGTCTTTGGGAATTCTAAGTAGCCTATGATGTTTTTTCTGAAAGAGCATGTGAAAGAGGGATTTAAAAAAATCAGAAGAAGTATCTTGCCTATCCAAGCTATAAGAAAGACCAAGAGAATCTCCTTTTAAGACTACTATTTAAAGTTTATGCATATGTAGCAGACCCTGGTTGGTTTAATTTGATGAGACTTCAGATTGGATTGCACATTGTAAAATACTCCTAAACATATGAATGACAGTGGATCTTTACTGGGATTAGTTAATAAACTATATACCTCCAATGCAGGATTATTTGCCCCATTAGTAAAAAAAATTTTGAGCAAAAATTCAAAATATATTTATTTATTTGTAAATTATGTAAATGTACAATCATATTCAATGATGTTCATCATAAAAAGTAGAAATTAAAGAGATGTGATAAAAATGAAATAATATTCAATCCCAGAGTCAAGAGGGGCCACTAGAGTTTATTGAGTAAGAAAGTGACATGGTTAAGCCTTGTTTCAGGAAAATCATTTTGTCAGCTATGCAGACGATCAGGAAAACTAATCTGGAAGCTATTTCAATAATACAAGTGAAAGGTAATGAGGACCTAAACTATAGTAGTGACTGTGTAAGTAGAGAGAAGGGGATAGATTCAAGAGATATTATATAGGCAGAAATGACAAGATTTGGCAACTAATTAGATATGTGGGATAAGGGAAAATTAGGAGTTGAGAATAAAATTGAAGTTTCAAATCTGGGTGACTGGTTACTGATGAAACAAATGATCAAAAAGGTTGAAGGCTACTGCATTAGAGGAATACAATTTGTTAACTAGTCCCAGTAAAAATCCATTTTCATTCTTAACAAAAATAAGAATTGTAATGAAATCTCTCATACAAATTGCTGTGCACTTATGCCTATTCATCCAGTTCAAGTGACTTGTTTTCACCTAAATTTAGTTAGGAGGGAGAGGACTTACTCATTGACCATTAACTTGCAGCAAGGAGTCTGGCCCCTGCCACAGCCACAAAGTGATCTGAGCAGGAATTTTGTCTGCCCAGCTGCTCAACCCAGATGATTAGGTTATAATTTCTTTGGGGATCTGATACTGAAGTCCAACAGGAGGTCAGCAGCTGTAAGGGATGAAATGGAGATATGTTGAGCCATAGTGGGTAACTGGAATGTGTAGTTCTGTTGGAAACAAGCCAGTGATTGACTGTCATGGGACAAGTGAGATGTAACTCCTCCCTCCGCTCTCTGATTGATTCATCATACACACTGGTGTCATGCCATGGCTACTGCCCTCCCCTTTTTTGAACACTATTGCTCTAACCCTACGCTAACCCTAATTTAGAGAGGTTTTTATTTTTATTTTTATTTTTATTTTTATCCTTTTATTAAAGGGATTTGTTCTGTGAAGTTTGGATTCAGTTAAAGCACCACACTTAAGAACCTAGAGGGTCATATGTGACCTCGAGGCTGCAGGTTCCCCACCCATGCCCTAACATTTAGAATACCCAAAATCCACAACCCTTTACTAAGATTATCCTCCAGAGATCTGGCCTTATTATTTCAGTTACCAGTTATATGCATATTATATGACTACCTTTTTTCCTTCCACTATCTCAACCATTTCTCCTCAACCTATCACAAATCTCCTACTTTTTCTCCGTAGCAAAACTATTGTCCCAGTAAAACTTTACATGTTGAATGGTATTTTTCTTTATTTCCGAATGGGATTGTGAAATTTAACATGGCAAAAGAGCAGAGCAAAAATAAGTTTTTCACCCTCCTTCTTGCCTAACTTCACCCACAGCTATCCCTATATTTCACTTTCATTCTCCTCCTCTCCATCCTTCCCCCTCTATCCATACCACAGCCAAATCCTCCCATTTCATCCATAAAATATAAATCAAATCATTCTACTTTATTTCTATGCCAAAGTACTTCCAGTTGCCAATTAATTTGTAACTATTCTATAGCCTCCTTCTTTAATGATGCTTAAATATTTGTAAACCACCCCACCTTCCCAAATCCTTCATACATGTAGATGACATTGTGACCAGTGGTAGATTCATTCAGGTCATGGACTTCACCAAGTCACTGGATTTTATCCTGGAAATAATGGGAAATCATTCAAAATTTTTGAACAGCACATTCTCATAGTATCATAGAAATTTAGAACTGTAAGATACTCTAGAAATCATTTAGTTTAATTACCTCATTATTAAAGATGGGGAAACTGAAATTAAGTGACTTACCCAAAGTCCTGAAAGCAGTTCTAGCAGGATTTTTAAACAAAATTGTAATTGATATCTTTTGATATCACTCATCCATTGCAACAAAGAATAAAAAGGAGGAAAAGTGCAGTAAAAACAACCTATGTATCAGAACAATCTGACATTGTCTGTATTGTTCCACATCCACATCCATCTTTACAAATTATGGCCCAGACTGGGGAACATGTACAATGGACTCTGCCTGCTGGCAACTCATGGTGATGGGAGATTGAGAGGGGGTGGTTCAGTTAGCTGCTTCTGGAAAGATGGCATGACATAGAATGGAAGGCCCTGCACCTCACTTCAGAGCATCTATTATAAGTCTGTTTCCTGTCTACTTCGTGGTGAAGAAAAGTTTTTTGATTGGCTGCTGGACTGAACTGAACTGAAGTGAGTACAAAAGGTATTAAGTAGTCAAATCAAGGTCTCTTTTTTGCTGAAGGTGAACAAAGAAAGAATTGCTGTAAGACCCAGGATTGGGAGAGAGGCCAAAAATACTATTCCTGTACTATTGCTCTCCTTCCTCCAAGAGACAAGGAAGAGTTTACTCTCAAGAAGTATGTTCTTTTGTAACTAGTTCTCTTCCCTGTTGCCAGAGGTCACACTTCTCAGAGCCACATTCTGCCTCTACTGCCAAATTAGAAAGTGTGTCTTGCTTTTTAAAGGATCATTAGGGGCATGGCTCAATCATTGGCCAGACAATGACTAGCTGCTCTCTAATTCCATCAGTTTTGACTAGAGAGTGTCTTTAGACTTTGTGTAAGAACTTAATGTTCTGTTGTCTCTTTTCTTTATCTTCTGTAATTTCACCATCTAGGCTAGGGGTAAGTCAATTTATCAATGATGCCCTGATAAACTACATCCCTCACTACGATAGTGAATATGGCACTTGAATTTTTTTTTATGTACTGGAACTATCTTTTTGTCAAAAACAGAACAATTAAAATCTTCTTGCTTTAACTTGATGATAATTTCATCCTTCAAAAGGTAGAGGAACAAACAAGGAGAAATGTTATTCTGGATCTGATTCTCACTTACAAAAAGGGAACTCGTTGTTCAGGGGAAAATTATGAAAATTCATCAACCTATAATACAATTGTCTAGGAGGAAGAGATTACTTCCTCCTAAAGTTTGTGTTAGGGAAGGAGAGGAAATCCAAGAATATTTGATATGTGCTCAAAGTTTTAGGAAAGCAGATTTGAAATGGTTCAAAGGAAGAATAGGAAGGATATTCCATAAACTAAAATTCTAGAGGAAAAGTCAGCCCAGAAGAGGAGGGAAATGCTCAAGCATGAAATTTTGAAGACACAAAGAGGAAAATTGAAGAGGAAAAATAAGATTTGTGGGGTTGCACAGAGAAATCACCAACTCACCAACCAAATTAGGTTTTAAAAAGAAAAGTATGGAAGGTTGGCCTGATATCAGAAGATGAATAGGAGTGTGACACAATCTTTGAAAATAGTTTCAGAATGTATAAGGTATCACCCTTTTTAGGAGCATACAGGAATGAGCTCAAACCAACTTCTTGAGATCCCATTGGTTAAATTTTCAGTGTTAATGTACACACCTCAGAAATCAGCAAATGCTACAAATCACGGCTTGATTTACTACTTTGTTAATTGCCTAGAATTAAGAAAGTGGTTGAGAAAATGTATTAATGCAGATAAAACTTAAAAGTGTGTTGAATGTATTTTTTTTCTTTTGGCAAGCCAGTCGTTAAACATTTAGCAACACATCCCTGGACTCTTTTTGTATATTACCTATAAAACTCAGCAAGAAGAAATAGAAAAAGAAAATGCATTCTAAATAACTACAATATATATAAAAGTCTACCTACCAAGATACATAAAAGAAGTATATAAATGTAATTTTAAAATACTTTAAAAATAAAAATGCCTAGATAATTGGAGAGATATCAATTTGAGTCATGAAAATAAAAATGATAGGACTAAATAAGTTAATTTATTTATTAGGGAAATAATGAAAATATGAAGGAAGGGAAGTTAGCAGTAGCAGATTCCAAACTAAAAAGCAGTATACCAGGGGGAAAGCTCCAGATGGAAGAGGCCTGCTTCTAGAAAGAAATGATGATGGATGATTAAAGTTCCCTGCCCCCCACCCCAATTTGGATCATATGCAGACATTCTATATCTAGTAGTGGTAAGAAAAGCCTCTGAGCACCTCCTTGTAGAGGAGGGGCCTTAGTGCTCTTCCCATCTGTACTCCATCCTCTACTCAGCTGTCAAACTAATATTCCTAAAGTACAGATATGATCATTTCACCTCAGCTACTCAATAAATTCTCTATTGTCTCCAAGGTTTTTCCTTGCTGCACTAATTTGTTTATGGTATTACCCTTTATGTCTAAGTCACGTGACCATTTGGAGTTTATCTTGCCTTTCTAGTTTTCTTAGACCTTACTCCCTTTAACATACTCTATAATCCAGTGATACTGGTCTCTTTGCTGTTCCTTACATGTGGCAATCCATGTCCTGACTCCCAGAATTTTCACTGGCTATCTCCCATGCCTGAAATACTCTCCTTCTTCATCTATATCACTTGGCTTGCCTAGCTTTCTTCAAGTCTCATCAAAAGTCACACTTTCTGCAAGAAGACTTTCCCAGCCCTCCTTAATCTTGGCACCTTCTCTCTGAGATTATCCCCATTTTATACTGTACATATTTTGTTTATACACAATTATTTACATGTTGTCTCCCTATCAGATTCTGAGCTCCTTGAGAGCAGAGAATATTTTTTGCCTTTCATTGTATCCCCAGTGCTTACTACCTGGCACATAGTAGTTGACTAACTGACTAACCTGATATTACTTCTCTCTCTGTTGTATCTATTCTTTCCTACTTTTAGGTGGAGAAGATTGAAGATGACTATGAATAACCTCATGAACTTTGAAAGTCAAGAGAGTCAGCCTCCAGAAGTCTGGCAGCTGTAGAGTTGGTGAGGAGTAAAGTCCAGCAATAGCAGAGATGCAAATTTTACATCCATCAGCTATACTGCTTTTGCAAGTAAACTTGATAGGGCTAATGCTATGTAGAAACTTCCTTAGGTTGAGGCTATTCTCTCCAGAGATCAAGGTGGCATAGGGGACAATATGTTTTCTCCTTCCCTTGTCCCAGGTATTGAGGGAAAATGTTAGTATTTCTGTCTTTGTTATAGAGGGTGTCCCAAAAGTCTTAGTGCAGTTTTAAGCTTTAATATCTTTGCAGTAAATGTCTCTTTTATGTTAATTGGTTAAATGGAATGGGGACATTAATCATTGATGACTAGCAGTTAGATGAGTCCACCAGAATAGGGACTCAGGCTGACACCATTAGAAAAATTAATTCCGTTGTCCCTCAGAGATACACTGGAATCCTGAGGATGTAGCAAGCTTCACTCTGGGAGTTCATGACCAAGTAAGAGACAGAATCACAGAAGATGAAATGGACAGTTTTGATTACATAAAATTTAAAAGGTTTTATACAAATAGCAATGAATTAAGATTAGAAGGGAAATAGTTAACTGTGGAGTTAAAAAAAAAACACTTTGAAGCCAGTTTTAACCAATAAATGTCTGATATCCAAGATATATAAGGACCTCATTCAAAATTATAAGAATGAGAGCCATTACCTAAAAGATAAGTGGTTTCAAAATATATAAAGAGACAGTTCTCAAAGTAAGAAATACAAGCTATCAACAGGCATATAAGATTCTTCAATTTTTAATAATTTTTAATAATTATGGAAATAAAGGCCAAAAAAAAGGAAAATGACAATGCCGGGAAAACAAGCACACTAGTACAATATTGGCAGAGCTGAGAATTGGTCCAGCCATTATGGAAAGCAATTTTGAACTCTGCCCCGAAAGTCACAAAACTATGCATACTCACTAACTCATCAATACTACTATTAGGTACACCTAAAGAGATTTCTTTAAAAGAGGAAAAGGACCCACTTATACATTGAATTTGCCACTCTGGTGGCAAAGAATTGAAAACCAAGGCGGTGACCATCAAATGGGGAAATGACAACAAATTGTGGTATATAGATAATAGATATATAGATAATAGAATATTGTTATGCTGTGAGGAATGAAGAAAAGACAGTTTCAGACAAACCTGGGGATATTTGTATGAATTGATATAGAATGAAGTGAGCACAACCCAGAGAAAGATGACAGATAGATGATGAACTCAAAGTGAAGAATGAGACCTACATTTCTAGCCAAGTTTAATGTGGAGATTTGTTTGTTTGACTATGCATATGTTTTTTGATTTGGGGTGGGGATTGCTGTGAAGGACAAGGAAGGTTAATGATATAATTATCTTTATTTTTAAGAAGAATTAGAAAAGGGAATCATTGAAGCATTAAAAAAAACACACAGAAGAGAATAGACACAAGAACTATTAGAAACACAGTCAGGAAGGCAGGACAGTCTTGAAAACATCATGTTGGATTTGTTATGTATGTTGTCCATAAGAAGTCATTGTATCTGGCTCAGGGCATGACCCACTTTTGATATCTCTACTCCTCTCCTCATCTCTTTTATGGGTGGAGAAAAATCACAAAGTGGCTAATCTGCTTGGAAATAATAATATTAGCTCAAGAGGGTTTTAGCTTAGGTGTAGGTAGAAGGTCCTAGTTCCAAATGGCTTCATTTTTCTCAAAGCTTTAAAAAAAAACCTTAAATACAAATTTCAAATAATATTCATGAAATGATTGAAGCCCCTAGTCAACCAAATGATCACTAAACTGAGATTATAATCTCCCAGCCATTAGAATAGTAGGTCCTTAAACACACACAAGTTTTCTTTCCCTCAGTCTCTACAACAAGAATACAAACTGAGAAAGCCTTTATAATTAATTATCTTTGCTTTGAATATCAATCTATTTTTAAAAAGTAAAGAACCAGTCGGCAAAATGTTTAAATAGCAAAGAAATCTTTAGCAATCAACCTTGCCTTTGGGATAATAGAACAAAGGGAGAAGTAGAGAGTGGAGCAGATTCACCATTGTCCTAGCAGTTTCTTCAAAGAGCCAGAATTCAGTCACTCTACTGAATTCTTTTACTAAGCCAAACTACAAGTCAGGAAAAGAAAAAGATTCTAGCCCCTATGAGGCTTCTAAATCTCCAGGGAAGAGTCAGCATCTTCTGCTGCCACTCTCTAAGGATTCTCTCTCTGACTCCTGCCTTGACCTTCTCCAGAGAAACTTTTCAAACTTCTCCTGTGCCCAATGTTCTGGAACACCCACCCTTCATTTCTGATCCTAAGATAAAAATCCTCCTGCTCAAAAATAGAACTCCCAGAGTCTTCATCAACTTAGGCCTCCTTGAAGGCAACTGATCCAACCTTACCAGAAGAGCTCTTACATACACTCAAAAAGAAAAAAACAAGCTTTGTTTAGTACACATTCACAGCTACATGTATAATTCTCTTTTTTCTATTCTATTTTGCATATGGAAATATTCATCTTACTTGGTACTTCTTAAGTTCAGAATTTCAAAAAGTTAATAAATAAAACATAAAAAGAGTGAGGAATGCTAAAACAGAGTGAGCCAAATTTGGCTAGATATGGATAGAAAAAAAGAGATTGAGCTTCTTTTTTTAATGCTGTGTTTAAATAAAACTAAGAATCAAAGATAGGTAAGACCTTTGCTTAGGGTGGATAGGATGATGATTACTGACAACAGACAGAAAACAGTTCTGCTTAATTCTTTTTTTTTTTTTGCTTCTGTTTTCTCTCTCAAATAGATTTTTTTCATGACAAAACCAAAATGGCTAACAGAGAGTTGATACCAAAAATAAAAGTAGAGTGAGAATAAAAGAGCAATTGGTTGTCCTTCATGTATTCAAGTCATCTGGCCCAACTTAACTACATCCCTGGGATCTGAAAGAACTGACTGATGTGTTAACTGAACCATTGTCATTAATATTTAAATATAATTTATCTAGATCTTAGCAAAGTTTTTCATAAAGAATTTCATAAATTTCCAGTTGCTGAAGAAGACAGACACAGGGCCAAGGCCAACACCAATGTTGCGCTACCTGGAGATGTAGACTGAAGCCAGAGACCTTGGCAGGGGGTGGAACTTGGTCCCAACCACTCCACCCAGAACTATTGCAGAGTCATGGCAGTGCATCCAAACTGCATGGAAGACAAAGTAGGCCCACCCTGTCAAAGGCTGTAGGAGTAAAGAGAGCTCAAATCCGACACAAAGTCAGAATTTAAAGAATTATTCTGGAGATATGAGGAAACAGAAAAGAATGACTTTACAATAAGTATGAGTAAATCTTCAGGAAAAAAAGAATGACTTGGCTACAAGGATTAGAAGAGTAGATAAAAGAAATCACATGAGATTTTTTTTTAAATGAAATTAGAGCTGTTGAAGAAAAAATTTGAAGGAGAATAAACAGCTCAGAAGAGAAATGGAAAACAAGATCCAAGTAATGAGCTCCAAGAAAAATCGAATACAGCAGAATTCAATTCAGAATTCAATTCAAAAAGTTGAATAGAATTCAATGATTCTATGAAATAATATCAGAACATTTTTCAATTATATCTCCTCAACCTGTTTTTTTTAGGTTAGTTGTTTCCTAAATTGAAAACCCCCAGTGGTATAAGACAAAATTCAGTTTCCAGAAGAAAGAAAAAACACTGCAAGAAACCTGAAAGAAAGAATTCAAGTACCAAGGAACCAAGTCAGAATCATACAATAATAAGAATAAAAAGAAATCTTTCAATATGATATTGCAAAAGACAAAAGAAAAATGTTTAGAACAAAGAATTTATCCTATGAAACTGAATATAATCCTACTAGAGAAAAATTAACTTTAATAGAATAGAGAACTTTGAAGAATTCCTGATGAAAAGATCAGCGCTTTAATCTTTAAACAAAAATAAAAGGCAAGAGAAACCTTGAAAGCAAAAAACTACATGGGTGTGAATCAAAAAAAAAAATCTTGACAGACTTGAACATTGGGTTAAATCTGAAATCCAACAGGGATAAATATAATCCTTACAACTGGGCCAAAAAAAAAAAACCCATCTATTTCACAAATACAAGATGGTGGAGGCATGATTGGACAACAGTTTGTCTCGAGAATTTCCGCGGATCTTGGTTGACAACAATTTCACTATGAATCAACCATGTGATGTGGCAGCTAAAAAAGTTTAGTGCTATGTTGGGCAACTTCGAGAAAGGCAGAAATTCCAGGAATAAGGTAATGATTGTACCACTGTATTGTACTGGGATACACTGTACACTAGAGTATTGTTTTCAATTCTGAGTGCACATTTTAGAAAGGGTATTGATAAGTCCCTATCCCTGTCTCTATCCTGTTTGGTCCCAGAATGCAGAATCAGATATCAAAGATAAGATACAAAGAGGGACAAGTAGGCTTAATGTCAGAAAACCTTCCTAACAATTAGAGTTATCCCAAAATGGAATAGGTTGCATCAGAAGTAGTGGATTTTTTCTTTTGGAGGTCTTTCAAAAGCAGGTTAGAGGACCATTTGTCTGTCATGTTATAACGAGAATTCCTTTCATTTATAGTTTAAACTAGATGACCACCAATGACAATTCTCAAAATCTGTGATTCTGTGAGGTGATGAAAAGTTCCCTTTTGACTTCAATAAGAAGAGAATATTGCAAAAGATTAAGGAAAGATTGTTGATGAAGAGTGAAAATAATGGACATAAATCAATCAATTCATAAACAACTGCTGTATGCAAGGGATTGTGCTAGGTGCTGGGAATAAAAAGAGAAAAATGAGACTATTCTTTCCCTAAAGAGCTTACATTCTACTAGATGATAATAATATAGAAAGTAATTTTAGGAGGGATAGAGTAATAACAACTGGTGAACAGGAAAATCTTCCTATAAGATGTTACTCCTGAGCCAAATCCTGAAAGAAGCTACAGACTCCAAAAGTGGAGGTGAAAAAGCAGTGAATTCTAGGCATTGGGGAAATTTTGCAAAGGCATAGAGAAGGAAATGACATGTATAACAGGAATGGAATAGAACAGAATAATAGGAAATAATCTGGAAAGATAGATGGAAAACAGAAAGTGATTGACCTAAAATTCTAGTTTGAGGCATTTGTATTTTGTCTTCCAGGCAACAGGAAGCCCCTGAGCATGACATTGGTCAAACTTGTAGCAATGTTAATTTGGCAGCATGGAGGCCATGAATTGAAGTAGGGAGAAACTAGACATTGGATGGCTAATTAGGAGGGTTTTTTCCCCCCAACAATTAAGGTAAGAAATAATGGAGACCTGGACTAGGATTGTGACAATAAGAGTGAAGAAAAGTAAATGGATTTGAGAAATGTGGTGACATGTGATTGGATATGAGGGGGTCAAAGAAATTGAAGAGTCAAGGACACCTCTGAAGTTGTAAAGATAGTGACAAGAAGTATGATAATGTTTTCTACAAAATTATCTAAGTTTGAAAGAGGAAGGAGTTTGGGGGTGAAATAAAATTGGCTCATTGAGAGGCAGCATGGCATAGTGCCAGATAGCTGGTCTTACAATCAGGAAGATCTGGGACCAAATCTGACAAATATTATCTGTTTAACTGTGGGAGTCAATTAATTTTTTAGTGCTTAAGGCATCTCTCACATGAATCTTTAACCTTTGTTTGTGTCATAGACCCTTTTGGCAGTCTTGTAAAAATTATAGAACTCTTCTCAGAATAATGTAATTGAAGGAAATGCCATATTCCAATGGAGATTAGTGAAAATAAGGTGTAAGTTTGTCTCCCATTCAAATTCACAGAACCCTTGAAATCTTTCCATGGACTTTCTGGTTAAGAATATTAGCTGTGGCCTTGAAATCAGGAGGACCTGAGTTCAAATCCAACTTCTTACTAGTGATGTGACCCCGGCAAGTCACTTAACCCCAGTTCCCTCAAAAAAAAAACCCAAAAAACCTTAGCTATAAGATATTAAGTTGGAGAGTTTCCTTATCTGGAAGCTTCCTTTATCAATGAAAGTTCATCCTGCCCTTTATTTTATGATAAGTTCAGTTTCAAACAGGTTGAATTTGAGATGCTGATCCAAGTGAAGATGTCTAAACAGCAATGTCACTTAAGCCTCAGTTTCCTTATTTATAAAATGATTGGATTAGACTAGTTGATTTATAAGTTATCTTCCTAAGAACTACAACACCAAGACAGATGATTAAGATGGTGACTGGGTCTCTTGGGACTGGATTCATAGACTCATAGTCTCATCCAAAGATGTCAGGGGATGAAGCACATTCAGAAGACACAGCACTCACTCCTAATCTCTGAATCCTCAGAAACACATACTTTCTGCTGCCTCTGCCTCTCAGGTTCTGATCTCTAGATTTCTCATTTGAGTTTCACAATGATAAGAAGAGAAATAATTAGAAGGAGCAATAGAATTTATTCACAAAGTGTGTGCATGTGTTGTGTTTTAAGACAAAGTGATTATATTTGAAGGTAGAAGAGAAAGAACTACAAGAAAGACAGAGATTAAAAATACCAGAAAAGTGGGCAATAAAGTTGAAAGAGAGGATGATAGGAATGAGTCCTCAGGTGAAATTAGTCTTGGAGGCAAGACACGGAAGGCATTCTTCCGCTGAAATTGGAAAAAAGAATAAAGTCGTAACTAACTAGGATGGGTACAATTGAGGTTTTCATTAGTGCACTGAAGGTTAGAGGGCACACTTCCTTTTCCAATGGCCCTCTGACCCACATTCACAGCGCAACCACCCTTTCTCCTTTTCCTAGGCCCTAGTTTGTTACCCTTCTGTCCCTTTCCCAGGGCCAGCTGACTCTCTGCTACATATCCCGGGGTTGAGGAAGATGACTGTCTTACCCCCATATCCTCCTAGAGTCTAGGAAGTTGGTGGTCCGTAACTGTACTGTAGGGTCACAAGCTGGAGACAGCACTTGACCACAGATTTCATGAAAATCTCCTGCAGTACAGTGAACATGAAGGCCACAACCAATATAGGTGGAATCTCAAGACAGCATTAGCTAAACTTGGACTCAGGAAGATCTGAGTTCAAATCCAACCTCAGACACTTTACTAGCTTAACTAGCTGTGTGACCGGGGACGACCCACTGAACATCTAACTGCCTTAGTTCCCTCACCTATAAAATGAGAATCATAGTAACACCTATCTCAGGATTGCTTTAATAAATTCTCATTCCCTTCCTTCTTTGTTCTTTTTCCTCCTAGATTCCCTTCGTTCCTTCCGTCAAGGCCTTCCCAAACTCATCTGAGGATGAGTCCCTTCCTAACCTGGCCTACTTCCTACACCACCCTCTTTCCTCCCTCAGAAGTCCCTGCCTAGCAGTGGTTTCTCTCTCATGTCTTCTTCCTTCCACTCCCTCCCTGGATTATTGGTTCTTCTAAAAGGAAAAGAAGATAGGTATAGACACAGAGATACACTGAGGAAGCTGGCAAATGATGGTGTCAATTCTGTAGGTGGAGTTGAGATTGAAGTTATTTTCCCAGGCTGAGAGGAAAGATTCAAAGAGTGGAAAAAGTTCAAGATGCCTCTTGTTAGAAGTGTGCCATTATTGAATAGATAAGAGATGATCTATTTTTCCTCTCTTTTCCTCTGTTCATTTCATTAAAGGGACAAAATTCTAGTGATATGTGTGCATATATACATATATGTGTAGATATGTATGTGTGTACATATAGAAATGCATATACACATGATGAAACTGTGGAGGATTTGGAGATGAGAATCCTTTCTTCTTCCCAAACAAAATTATTCAAGTTATTGGTTAGTCTCTATAGCAATAGCACAGCAAATCTTTTCTTACAATAAGCATACTGAAGTTGAGTAGTGTTTGACCAAAATAATTGGAGCCTTAGTTCTTAAGTTTTGGTGTAATATCTCCCAAGGAAAAATCCTGATGCTTCTAAAGTTAAATTTGTGAGCCAGTTATAGCAGATACTCCTAGCAGGGTAAGTTCAGGAATGAGTTCTGTCAAAGCAGGGAATCTACAAAATCTACTCCCCAACCCCCACCTTAGTTCTAACCCTAGTGTTTATGTATAACTAACTAACTAGATGCATTCCCTCTCCTAGTATTAGGTATGATTGAGAGATAACTCCCACAGCCATAGCAGCAGTTTCTGTACATGCTGCATCCCATGCTCTTCTGAGCATCAAAAGGAGATGAAGCCTGATTAACTATTTTGAAACCAATCGGATGAGAAGTCCTTACAAAACAACTTTTTATACGCTTTAATTAAAAACGTGTTCCGGCAGCTCAGAGATGAATGGGCTTCAGGGGGAGCGGGGCTGAGTCCGTTGCTATGACGACACCAAATCTTTTCACTCCTTGTCTTTCCTCAGTACATTCTGACTAGATCTCTCCAGCCACTAATTTGACTGTGCCCCATCTCTCAATCCTTCAATCCCTCTGTCCATGTGTCTACACATTATCCAACACCTGCTGCTGCTTCTGCTGTTGTAGTTTTTCCTCTTTCCATTTCTTTCTTCATTCTCCTATTCAATGATTATAAGTTGTTTTTTCCCCAGTTTCTCCCTGTCAAAATCTTTCTTCTTGTGAACAGATTTATTCTTCTGAATTCTGAAATAAATTTCCTATTTCGTCTTAGTATGGTTTCCATTTTACCTTGTCCCTCCCCTTCATCCTGAAACATTTTCACCCCAGAGATTTTGAGTGTAGTCCTAAAAGTACATCACTGTCTTCTCCCTCTT